AGGAGCACTGACACTTTGGTTTCTCACTTCAGACAAAGCTGCTAAAGCTGCTTCTGTGTGTGTGTGCTCAGTCCAACTCTGCATATCACATCGTGGGTAAAAACCAGCCATGCTGGCACAGAAGAGGGGAAAGATGGGCTGGAATGAGGAAGGGCAGAACTTGTGGGTGGTTCAGCTCCTCTCTGAAGGGCTCTGTGAGCAGGTTTCCCACCTGGCAGAGGGGCAGCATGCAGGCAAGAAGAGGCAGGCTAGGAGGGAGGGGAAGTATGAAGGCTGCTGAAAACTAGAGAATACTGAATTTCATGGATTGTCTTTGTGAAAGATAAGCAACTGAGCATTTTCAGTCAGAAAAAGTGTATGTTGAGCCAGCAACTGTGTAGGTAGGGCATGTTTGTCTCAATTCCCTCCTCTCAATAGACATACCCATTTAGTAACCCCTGGCCAGCCACCTTTACTTACTTCTGATCTGGGGCTCACAGAATCACTGAAGAGTCAAGTTTGGAAGGAATTCTGTAGGTCATGTTACCCAGCCCCCTACTGACACAGGGTCACCTAGAGCTGGTTGCCCAGGACCATGGTCAGACAGCTGTTCAATGTACAAAAAGCCATTCAAAATGTAGAATTTGTTCTGTTTGGTTTCTGGCCATTTTTAAATCTCTAAATATCTCTTCACTGGAGCAGGTGATCACCCACTGATTGTTCAGTTTGCTGCCAGAGAGGCACAGGTTCTGAGTGATGCTGCACGGATCATCTGTCCCTTTGCAGATGGAATAGACCTGAACTGTGGCTGTCCTCAGAGGTAAGGCTTGGAAAAACCTGGGTAAATATGGTGAAATAATTTGAGACTAAGGAACTCTGGTCTTCATTTTCATAGTCATTTCTGTCCTAACTTAAAAATAGACTTCAAGAGAGAAACAGCTATTTAACCTGTCAGAAACGTCTGTGCAAGACACTGCTCTCAGTGCTCAGAGATGACTGTCACCATGGTGAGACTGGAAAAAACAGAAATATTTGCCAACTTGCCTTGATTTTAATTCCTGAGATACTGAGTGTTGGCTCAGAAGTGAAGTGTCCATCCCTTCTCAACAGCTGTTAAATATGCATTACCAAGAAGAGCTTGCTGCAAATAATTTGGAGAGTGCTTGGAGAAATGATGTGTCAATTCCCAAAATAGTGAGGCAAGTCCCTGATGTCTCAAACTTCTACAAGTGAAGGATAGTCTCTAAAATATAATTATACAGATTGTATTACTCAGGAAGTGCTGAAAATAATTCCTTCCATCTTTTATTAGATTTATAAGTACAGTGAATTAGTGATCTGCCTCTCACTTAAATTGATCAAGATTTTGTCTCGACAGTGAAACAGTAGTGAGGCACTAATGAAGATTCTTGCTAACTGGTTCACTTGAGAACCATTGATTTCTTGTGTGTCAGGCAGTCTTGTTCTAAGGAGCAACCTCAGAAATAAGGTAGGAAAGTAAAAGATGATATTATGGTGCAAATTCTTAATTTGTCTATTCTAATTAGGTTGTCTTGACTGAAAATCATAGTGTTTGAGGAAACTTTCCTGCAGAGATCTGAGACTTTGGAATGAAAGTGTATTGTTTTTCCTAAGTTATAGTTAAGTTGGCTAAACTGTAAGTTGCTTTTAGGCCAAAAATATATGCTTATATTTGAATCCTTTGTTCCTTGTGCATGCTGGTTTCAAAGTAACTGAGGTTTATGCATTTCATCTGCCTTAAAAAAAAAAAACTGCTTAAGAAAAAAACTGCTGCTGTTAAGTGGAAACAAAGGTTATTGTCTGCCAATGAAAATAGTGGTTTGCAGTTGCTGGAGGACATAATATTACTGAAATAATTTCCTCACTTGCACTTCAGAAATCTTCCTTTTTTTATCCAAAGTCATTTTCTGTTTAGAAGAAACCCATGACCCAATGAAAGAAATTATTTTATGTATGAGTTAAGCCATCCTTGATTAAACTTTCATTTCTCTCCCTTGTGAGTTCATTTTGTGGACAGAAAATTGAACTGAGAGAGCTTAGTAACTTGTCCAAAGTTCTAACAGCACAATGGAGACTGAACCAGGATCTGAAAGCTCAAACTGCAAACACGAAATTGATCTACAGCCACTGCTATCTCTTGTTTACTCAGCCACACATTCTGAAGGTCGTAAGGAAAGAAACTGATGTCTCTGACTGCAATGGATCTGCATTTTTTCAAGTGTAGAATACTCTTTTTTTTTTTTTTTTTTTTTTTTACAGATGGGCCATGGCAGAAGGTTATGGTGCTTGCTTAATAAATAAACCAGAGCTCGTGAAAGATATGGTGAGACATGTGCGGAATCAGATCGACAACCCTAAATTTTCAGTATCTATTAAAATAAGGTAGGTCTAACCTAAGTGCTGTTTGTGGTACATGGAAGAATCCTTTTAATTTTTTGAAAAGAAAGAGTTGAATGTAATTGTTAGGATATTTGTAATCCTGTTAAGGTAATATTGCACATTACAGTCATTTCCTCACATGTGAAGACTGCTGAGATTTTTGGACTTCAGATATCTGGGGCAAGTAATCCCAAACTTAGTTGAACCAGCACAGCCTTTGACTACTTACCCAGATCCCAAACTATGCTAGAGTTTTCTTGCAATCCAAATAACATGAAATGACAAGTTAAAAGATTAAGGGTTCCATAAAAGAAAAGCAATGCTTAGTCTGTATCATCACAAGGATTTACTTTGTGAGATATTGGAGTCCCAGAGACACAGTTGCTGTTGGCTATAAAGGGATGAGTAACAGAAGTGGGAACCAGTCCTCACAGCTGCTGTAAGGAATATAATCTGCTTCCCTTCATCAGTTTCTAAACTTCCATGGACTTGCTTTGCATTGCTTTGTGTGCAGACCAGAAAAGGGAAGGCTGCAGGGAGACTTTAGCCTTCCTGTACCTTAGGGGAGTTCTACAAGAAAGCTGGAGAGGGTCTTTGTACAAGGGCATGGAGTGATAGACACAGGCCAATGGCTTCAGAGTGAGAGTTGGCTTAGATTAGATAGGAAGAAGTTCTTTGCTGTGGGTGAGGCACTGGAACAGGCTGCTCAGAGGAGCTGAGGATGCCACAGCCCTGGAAGTGTGCAGGGCCAGGCTGGATGGGGCTTGGAGCAACCTGGGCTAGTGGGAGGTGTCCCTGCCCATGGCAGAGGCTTGGAACTAAATGGTCTTTAAGGTCTCTTCCAACCCAAACCATTCTATGATGCCCATTCTGTGATCCACTATGTAACCACATCCCCTATGTGGCTTGTGCATATTTGTCAGTTGAGTTTCAATTCAGTTTCCAGTCCTTCAGGAAAGGAGAAATATTATAAATCAGATTTTTTTTCATAAAATATGCAAAATCATGGTGTTTATTTTAGAATCTTTTGGGTACCCTTGCTGAATCTGTAAAGTTTACCATGAATGTTACAGAGGTGTAATGTAATTGGGAAATGCTAAATTAAATAGCAGTTTCCATACCTTAAGCTCACATGTCTTTAAAATAAACAACCCAAACCACTATTTTCCAATAGTGATATTGTCTTTATGCTGTTGCTTACACAAATCTGTGGTGACTCCTTATGGTTGAGAGCTTCTTATATAGTCCAGGTAACTTACTATAATTTCATTCCTGGGAATTTTAGGATCCATGGGGACTTGAAAAGAACAGTTGACCTGTGTCAAAAAGCTGAAGCAGCTGGAGTTTCATGGATTACAGTACACGGGAGAAGTGTAGAAGAAAGGCATCAACCTGTACATTATGATGCAATTAAAACAATTAAACAAAGCATGTCTATACCTATTGTGGCTAATGGAGACATTAAAACTTTAAAAGATGCTGAAAATGTTCATCACTTGACAGAAGCAGATGGTAAGATTAAGCATACTATATTTTCTAAGTAAAGGTACAAATCATATTTCAGAGTGTTTATTTTGGCTGTAAGTAGGACATGATTTGAGTGCTTTTCACTCTTTGAGGAGACAAATGAAAGAGGATGTTTTGGATGCCTTATAACCTCATAAACAGAATCACTTGTAATCATCAGAGCACTAGAGCACTGCTATTCAAAGCCACAAATAATGATTTCCGAGGCAAATTACAAAAGCTCTTTGCTTAATTATGCTATCTCATCACTCAGACGTGGAGTTCAGAGGGACCTTCAGACATTCATTCTGTCTCTTTATGGAGCTGATCATCCCTTAAAGAACTTCCACTTGGAAGTCTTTACTTCCTGCACATGGGAGCAAATTTCTTACAGTAAGACTACAGTGGAAAAAGGAAATATTGTTAAGCATCACCAGTTAATTTGGTTAGCTGTAAGGACACAGTGAGGCATTGCCCTCTCATTTCAGTGGTAAAATTTGTGGATTTCTTTTTTCAGGAGTGTCCTGCAGTTACTTAGTCACAATAGATTCCTGCAACTGCCTGTAGTTTCAAGACATTATGGAAATCTGGTGTAGGTTTGGAAGAGGTGATTTGTATCTACATCCTTTGGATCATTCAGCTAGAGAACAACAGGACAGAGAATGGTAGCACAAGGAAAAGTTCATGTGTCAGGTTTCTGGTGACACTGTTGCTGTTTAATAGCAACAACCAAAATCAGTTGACCCAAACTGAGATGCTGCTCACAGGGACTTCCCCCCAAATGCAAAGCAGGAAGGAAATGCCTAACACAAAAGAATAGTCCAGCTGACCTTCTTCAATAGCAAAAATACAGAGCATTAGATTTTTTCTGTCACGTGCAATGGTGAAATAAATTTTTCTGTTTTGATCATCCCATTTTTTTAAGAAAAGACTAAGTGTGATAGATTATATGCCGACTGTGCAGGAAAACAGAACCCCTTAATAACAGAAAAAATATGATAAACTCATACAATTTCTATCTGACACTGTGGGATTACAGTTGGAAATATAGTGGCTTGTTCAGAAAGATTTACTGCAGATCAAGAGTCCTGAAATTTATATAATTGAGCTATTGAGCTCTTACTGGAAAGAGGATTCTAGGTCAGTGAATAGACTGGGTTGCACAAAAAAGCCAACTAAATTGAGCATATTTCTGCTCTTGTGTCTTTCCATCGTCATTTTATGTTATAAAGGCAGGATTGTGTGTGTGTAGCAAATAAAAGTGAAATACTATTTAACTGCAGCTTCAGAAGGAGGGAAGAAAGGCCTCTTGTGTGCCCTGTGTTCTGTTTCAGTACTTGTGGAATGTGAAATGTGTTGATAGGTGCTGTAGGTAACTCCAAGTTCTGCCTTGTTGAATGGATTACCCTGATAAGCTGCAAAACTCATCCCTGTTGTTCTCCCACTGCTGTCTGTGAGCTTTGGGTGGTTGTCCCAGAGGCTGCTAGACAAAATCTACAGGGAGATTTAGCATAAAATTTAAACTGTAATGTAACTTACTGCTTTAATTTCCACTTTGAAGGTATAATGGTGGCTAGAGGACTCTTGGCAAATCCAGCTCTGTTCGCAGGATATGAAGAAACACCTTTCAAGTGCATCCAGGACTGGGTGGACATTGCTCTTGAGCATGGAACTCCTTTCACGTGTTTTCACCACCACTTAATGTACATGATGGAAAGGATAACTTCGAAACAAGAAAAAAAGATTTTCAATGTTTTATCAAGTACCTCAGCAGTCCTAGATTATCTGAGTGACCATTATGGTGTGTGAGCAAGGATTTTCATTCTGTGTAAACTTGTTCTGTAATTGTCAATATGTCATTAGAGTTTTAATTGGGTTCTTCCTTTTTAGCCGCTATTTTCAACACAGCTTAACATTATCATTAGGGTGATACTTTATGTTTTTAGTCTTTTTGTCTGCATTTTTCAATCCAGAAAATACTCCATATTCCACAAGTGTGGAATTCTGTTTACAGTGCTCTACTACACAGAGGATTGATAGTTGGAATGCTCCAGTAATTTGATTTATTTTTCACCAGACAGTTGCTTACAGCAATATGACTGCAAACCTAGTGCCCTTCTTACATGAAACCTCCCAAAACCAGGACTAGTTATAAATAATGCCTGTAATTTCAGACCAAAAGAATACAAAGGGAGCAATTATAGAAGTTTTCTCTTTAACTGACATAAGCTGAATGTTAAATTTGAGCAGATTTTCAGGCTTAAAGACTGTGAGGCCTTGAAGCCCAGCACACTATATCCCCTTTTAAATTAGATGTTCCTTTTGCAGACTAAAACCTTCTAAACTTATTTACAACTTAGAAAAATTCCACATTTCCTATAGCAAAAGAAAAATGGATTAGATAAACAGTGACAGAAAGAAGGAAAAAGTAAAATGAAGAGATAGTTTAAACTAAGTGCAAACTTAGCTGAATCTAAACTACAAGACTTGAAAGTTCAATTGAACTAAATTGAGTTTTGTTTATCTACTGTATAAGAATTATATAGAAGATTAAATCCCTATCACCTACCAAACCAGGACTTTTTGGGTCAAAGGAAAGCAGACAGATTCTCTCAGTGGGGCTCTTGCAGTCCTTTCTGCCTGTTGGCATGTTGCTTATCAAAGCATGACAACCACTTGGCTTTGAGTCATTGTATAGGGGTGAAATAGTGAATATCAGAACAAGATAATAACATTACACACCAGCTGCATTTGTTCTGCAAGGGAAATTTCACAAAACTCTGCAGTACAATTATTTGTAATCAAATAATTTGTTTTCTTTGTATGTTTACACAAATTTATACCAGAAATGGCCTAGTTTTCTGACTGTGATTGTTCTATGAATATACATGTGAACAGTTGCAAATTTTCTAAATAAATTACTTGGTTTTGTACACAGTTGTAATTTTTATTATGCAGCAGTCTGGGGCAGGGGAGGGAGCTTTTGATGACACCCCAAATGCCGCCCCAGTGGGGATATGGGACACCCCAAGTGCCGCCCCAGTGGGGATATGGCACACCCTGTGAACTACAGGTCTGGTGGCATTCAGAGGAGCCAGTGGGATTCCTGAGGGACTGAATGCAGCAAGTAAGGTTCTTTTGGATTGCTGGTGATAATGCAGTAACTGCAGAGCAGCTAGCTGTAGCACTAACAATACAGTTGCAATCACCAGTTTAATGCTCTGGATTAACACTCAGTGTAGCTGAGCTTGCCCAAAGGCATCTCTTCTGGGGAGGGTGAGGAGGACAAACCCATGGATCCCTGCAATCCCTCCTTCATGACATGCCACAGTGGAATCCAAATCCATGATTCTTTGTCATAATACTAACTTCATGACTGACCTTCTCACTAATCATCCAACTCAAACTCCTGTCATTCACCCCTACTAATCCTCCCCCCCAACAAAACCCTCACAACCACAAAAACCTCCCCCTGAGCATGACCATGAACCTAAGTTTCTTTGACTAATTCACAAGCCTATCCCTCTTAGGAATCCCCCTAAGTCCTCCTTTCAGTATTATTCCCTGCCCTACCTGACACCTGGCTCCCCACACCTGACAACCAATGAACTAGCAATTGCCTTTCAACTCTCCAACTCTGATTTTCCCATCCAATTACAAAACAGTAATCCAATTAAAAAAGGAAGGACATAAATAAGCCTTAACGCTGGCATCAATAACCCTCCTGCTGATTTCATGTTGAATTCTCATCCCCTGGTTAGATGCAAACACGGGGTAGTTATTATACCTCACTAACCATTACTGTGCAAAGTGCCGTGGGTGGGACTGTGGCCATATCTTCCATTCCTTGTGGGTGCATTGTATGGAAAATTTCTTGGAGGGATGTTGTCCTAGGCTACAATGTAGGGTGTACCTGTTAAAGCAGGTGGAGCAATGATCCTTATCTCCTACTCCACCCTGATGGCTCCCTCAGGGGGAGGACTACTCCCAACACCCTGACTGACAGGGTGTCAGGTTCCTTTCTGACTCTGTCAGTGACAATACTTTGCATATCTTTTATAAATCCAGAACAGAAGGTACATTTGTAACTTAATTGGAGATTATTTATCAGAAATTCTTCCTGCTACCCGAGAGATCAGATCAGCCAGGGATTGCCCATACTGCAGCTTTTATTGACATGGCCATGCAAGGCTGTCCCAGCCCATGCCTCACGAGGGAATGTCGCACGAGCGACAGGCATGGGGAGCTCCTCTCCTGCAGTACAGCACAAGCTTTGGTGTCTGTCACCTTTCCCTTAGGACAGCTGTGTGTGTGTCTCATCTTCCCCCTGGGAAAG